ATGTATGTGTGTGTGTATATGTATATATGTATGTATATATGTGTGTGTGTGTGTGTGTACACACACACACACATATACACACACACACAGGTAAAAAAAAGGATATATGCAGTGTTATCTTCATTTTAGATGTCAAAAGGGTCTCTCTCTCTCTGTCTCTCTCTCCCTCCCTCCCTCTCTATCTGTCCTTGGTCTGCCACTCCTCTTCCCCCTCTCTTTCTTTCTCTCTCGCTTTCCTCTCTCTCTCTCTCCCTCCCTCTCTCTCTTTCTCTCCCCCCTCCCCTATCTGCTGCTCACCTGGCAAGCTTCAAGCTGTTGTCCAACAAGCTTAGGGGTAGGCAACCTCATCTCTTTTATGACTCATGGACTTCAACTCCCAGAATTCCTGAGTCAGCCTAGCTGGCCTAGCTAGCTCCTTCCTGCTTCCTGCAGAGATGCAGCAAAGGGAGGAGCTCCGCCCCAAAAGCTTTTCAGCTCCCCGGAGAACACTGTGAGTGCACTCTCTTTTACACATATATACATACATACATACATACATACATACATACATACACACACACAAACACACAGAGAGAAAGAGAGAGAGAGAGAGAGAGAGAGAGAGAGAGAGAGAGAGAGAGAGAGAGAAGCAGGGAAGCGCTTGTCTGTCTCTGTCTCTCTCTGCAAAGGCAGAGGAGGCTGGGAGCCACAGGGGAAGGCTCAAAGAGCCGCATGCGGCTCCGGAGCTGCAGGTTGCCGACCTGTGGTCTACACTGACCATAAGCTTTGTTGGGATTGTTTACAACTAACAAACAGACCCCTCACATTATCTCTCCCAGAATGCTCAGATGGTCAATCTTTCTGTCAGCTTATGATTTTTCTTTAATTCACAAAGCGGGCAAAGAAATGGGCCATGCTGATGGCCTCAGTAGATTACCCTTACAGGTAGTTGAGGCTGACCCTGCCCCAGCAATCAATATTCTTTCAATTCAAGCACTGCCTGAATCACCCCTTAATGCCAGGGATGTGGCTGCTGAATCAGCCACGGATCTTACACTCTCTCGAGTCTTATCCTGGGTTTTGTCTGGATGGCCAGAGAGTTGTCCAGGTACTGAGTTTCAGAGTTTCTGGTTAAAAAGGAACAAGTTGTCCACCTTCCAAGACTGTCTGCTGTGGGGTAACAGAGTTGTCATTCCTACCTTAATGAGGTCTAGAGTCTTAGGGTCCCTTCACGAGGGTCATCCTGGCATTGTTTGAATGAAGGCGCTTGCGCGCAGCCACTTGTGGTGGCCTGGGTTAGATAAGGAAATTGAGGCTAAGGTGCATGCTTGTCACCTTTGTCAACGCTCACGCCCAGAAATGCCTCAGGCTCCTGTACATAGGTGGGAGGAAACACAGTCCCCATGGTCTAGGGTGCACATTGACTACGCTGGGCCCTTTCAGGGTCAATTCTTCTTGGTCCTGGTTGATAGCTATTCAAAATGGCTTGAGGTTGTACCTGTCTCGTCCACCACCACTGCAAAGACTATCGAAGTACTGCGGGGAATTTTTGCTGCACATGGGCTTCCGGATGTTTTGGTGTCTGACAATGGCCCGTAATTCACTTCTTCCGAATTCTAAGCTTTCTTACAGGCCAACATGATTCGTCATGCCACTTCTGCTCCTTTCCACCCTTCCATCAATGGGATGGCTGAACGGATGGTCCGCATCACCAAGGATGCTTTAAAGCAGTGGTTCTCAACCTTTCTAATGCCGTGACCCCATAATACAGTTCCCCATGTTGTGGTGACCCCCAAGTGGGTGTGGCCACCAATAAGAGGGAGTAGGACAGCTAGGGAAAAGGGAAAAAATGGCGGACAGCGTGGTTTGGCGACCCCCGTGAAATGGTCATTCGACCCCAAATGGGGTCCCGACCCACAGGTTGAGAACCACTGCTTTAAAGAGACTTACCTATGGGGACTGGCATCACAGGTTGGCTGACTTCCTCCTTTCCTACCGCACTACACCTTCCACTTCTACCGGGAGGAGCCCAGCTGAACTTCGTTGGGGGCGCAAACTGATTACTAAACTTGACCGGTTGCATCCGGACAGACTGCCGCCTAGGGGTACACAGCCCAGGGCACCGTGGCAATTGCAAGTGGGTGCCCCTGTATGGACCCGTAACTACGGGCCAGGCCATTTATGGGTTCCTGCCACTGTTTGCAAGGTTACAGGCCCTTTGTCTTATGAGGTCTCCTTGGAAGACGGCCGCATCCTGCGATGGCATATTGACCAGCTGCGTACAATGCTGGACTCACCTGCAGACTCCTGGTTCTTTTCCAGGGGGGAGGGCGACCCTTACGGGCAAAGGGAAGGGTGTTGGCAGCATTCAGACTCTCACAGTGAGGCCACAGACGGCCTGTCGCATGATTCCGCAAGTGTTCCAAACAGGAATTCAAGGGAACCAGTTAGTGCACAAGCTACAGCGCAGACTTCAGCCAGGGAGTCACCCCGGGGGCATAATCATTACACACGTACACCTTTCAGCACTCCAGTCAGGGAGAATAACTGGGAGCATCCTAATAACTCAAACATTGCAAGAGAGCTGGCACACAAGCAGTACAATTGGCCCAACACAGCCACAGTCCCTAGAGAAGGACACTGCCACAGGGAAGTGGGAGAAGAGCCAATTTTAGACAGTGGACCCTCTGGTTCAACGGAAGGGGGAACTGAGTTTTGGGACAATACTGAAATAACAGACAGTCCGGCTATGGAACTGGGGAGTGGAGGAAGCCAGCCTCCCGTTAGGTCCAGTGTGGGCTTGAGAGGCCATTCAGAGCTACCCAACAATGGCAGCTTAATAGAAGGGTCAGGTCGCCTGCAACTAGGCAGGTCAACCAGGTTAGAGAGAGAGCAAAGTCCTGGCCTGACGAGCCCGGTGGGCAAGCAAGCAGGCCAGGCATCAGGGCACAGTCCACGGGGGCCACCAAGGTCTGAGAAGGGGGGTGAACCTATAACCTCCACAGGACAAGGTGTACTTGTAAATAATCCAGGCCTACATAGGTCACAGAGAGATAAGAGGTCTCCCAAATATCTTGAAGATTTTATAACCTTACTGGCCAGGCAGAAGACTTAAGTGTATTCTGTGGAAGCTGGAAATGGGAACCCTGGAGTTAATCCCCAGCACTATAGTGTAGTACCATTTAACAAGAGTGTACACCACGCTCGTGCTGAGGTTGCGTTAAAATTGTCATGTAGTCTTAGCCGGGGGAGAAGGAGTGTTATGTCCTGAGCCTGCAAAAGGGCAGGCTCGGGATGTTGCAATGGTCCCGGGCAGCTGAAAGTTGCCCGGGACCAGACTGGTTGGTGCCAGTGCTCGCGCATTTGCGCGAGGGGCTTTGCGCGCCTAAATGTTGCCTTTTGGCTCTGGGAAAAATGTCCTTAAGAGAAGCTGAGAAGTCCGTGCTGCCTTGAGTTGTAACGGGGCTGCTGAAGAGAAATAAAGAAGGTTACTGAACATCAAGAATGTCTCGCATTGTCATTGCCATTAGCCGAGGACTCAACATTTAGCATAGTCAATGAAGCAGAAGTAGATGTTTTTCTGGAACTCCTTTCTCCATGATCCAGGGTATGTTGACAATTTGATCTCTAGTTCCTCTGCCTCTTCAAAATCCTGCCTGTACTTCTGGTAGTTCTCGATCCACATACTGCTGGAGTCTAGCTTGTAGGATTTTAAGCATAACTTTACCAGCATGTGAAATGAGTGCAATGGTGCAATAGTTTGAACATTCTTTGGCATTGCCTTTCTTTGGAATTGGAATGTAAACTGACCTTTTCCAATCCTGTGGCCACTGCTGAGTTTTCCAAATTTGCTGGCAAATTGAGTGTAGCACCTTTAATGCGTCGTCTTTTAAGATTTTGAATAGCTCAGCTGGAATACTATCACCTCCACTAGCTTTGTTGTTGCTCAGATTTCCTAAGGCCCATTTCACTTCACATTCTAGGATGTCTGGCTTGAGGTCAGTGACCACCCCATCATGGTTATATGGGACGTTAAGCTCGTTCTTGTATAGTTCTTCTGTGTAGTTTTGCCACTTCTTAATCTCTTCTTCCTGTTAGGTCCCTGCCATTTTGGTCCTTTATCATGCCCATCTTTGCATGAAACGTTCGCTTCGTAACTCCAATTTTCTTGAAGAGATCTCTGGTCCTCCCTATTCTATTGTTTTCTTCTATTTCCTTGCACTGCTCATTTAAGAAGGTATTCTTATTTCTTCTAGCTATTCTCTTGAATTCTGCATTCAGTTGGGTGTATCTTTCTCTTTCTCCTTTGCCTTTTGCTTCCATTCTTTCTTCAGCTATTTGCAAAGCTTCCTCAGACAGCCATTTTGCTTTCTTGCATTTCATTTTCTTTGGGATAGTTTTAGTTGCTACCTCTTGTACAATGTTGCGAACCTCCGTCCATAGTTCTTCAGGCACTCTGTCCATCAGATCTAATTCCTTAAATCTATTTGTCACCTCTACTGTATATTCATCAGGAATATGATTTAGTTCATACCAGAGTGGCCTAGTGCTTTCCCCCACTTTCTACAATTTAAGTAGTATACCTGATGGTCATCTGAGTTAAATTCACCCATTCCTGTCCATTTTAGTTCGCTGATTCCTAAGATGTCGATGTTCAGTCTTGTCATCTCTTGTTTGATTACGTCTAGCTTGCCTTGATTCATGGATCTTATATTCCAGGTTCCTATGGAGAAAAGATCTTTACAGCATTGGACTTTCCTTTCACCACCAGATGCATCCACAGCTGAGCATCCTTTCGGCTTTGGCCCGGTCGCTTCATTCTTTCTGATGCTACTAGTACTAGCCCTCTGCTCTTCCCCAGTAGCATATTAGTGATAGCTTTTATATATTTTATAGCTCATAAATGGTACATAACAGTGGTGCTTATATTTAAACTATCAATTAAATACATGTTAAATTCTTTCTAGGTATGTGTGCATAAGTAGCAGATTAGAATACTAAGATTAGAAGACTAGGTTTATTATACTGAATTACCACATAAATCAATTAGTTCCATTACTGAGAATTTTCTGGAAAATATATGTGTGCAAGGGAAAGAAAAAAACTTAAAACATAATCATCTGTCACCCTATTTCAATAAAATTTGAATTTTATACAAAATGGAAAGTTATCCATCCAGCAGTTCCCAAAATTAAGACAAGCCGAAGGCTTACAATATTTGTTTTGTTAAATAAATATGAATATATCCATTTTTTGTAACTTGCAGCACGCACATAGAGTCCTGGAAATTTTGGTCTGCCACAGCCAACACCAGAACTGGTGATTCCTATTAAATAATATTTGCTGGCATCTGGGAAATAGCATGCCAGAGGACCACCACTGTCTCCCTACAATGTGAAAAAGAAAGATAAGACAAATTAGGTATTGCTATTTTGAAGCATATAATAGCATATTTCCTATTAGTCTGAGTTATGTTTGCCATAACATACCAAATGAAAATAATGATCATTTGGAAATATAAATTTGGATATCCTGTAGGAGAAATATTTGCTTTTGTTGGATTACAAGTTTTAAAATTAAGTTACTTTAAATATACATACACTGATATCTTGTTTGGATAATTTGCAGATTACTTATTCATAAGATGCATTTCATTTATGACATCAAGGCAGAATATATAGCAGTCTTTCCTATTTTTCCCACAACAGCCTTCTGAATTAGATTGTACAAGTACTGAGTAGAATAAAGTGGCCCAATGAGCTTCCATGGCTGAGGGCAATGTGGAACTTGGGTCTTCCTAGTGTCAGCCCAATACTTAGAGACTATACCACACTGAAATTGCACTATAAACTCAGCATGTTAGGGGCTTATCTACCATCAAACATTTTTGTATGCAGGTATTGAGAATCATTCTATATTTCCAAGTGATCTACTGTGAAAACAGGTGAAGTGATCTGAATCAGAAAAAAATCTGCTATTATTACTATTATTTATTAATTTTTTATGCCATGCATCTCCCTATAAGGTGATTCTGGGTGGCTTACAAATTATAAAACTAAATAATTAAAATATTGAAACATTAAAACCACAAATTAAGATTTTAAAAACTATACTGAAACCAGAACTAAGAAACGAATGGGAGACCCTAGTACTATCCCATAGCCACTGCTAAGGTCTTCACTGAAAGACTGTGAAACAGTCATGATGTATTTTTCTTTATATTCATGTTCATATGCATAAATTAAAAATATGTCCTGCAAATTTCTATAAGAACTTTACCTTTCTTGTAACAACTTTTTGCTTTCAGGATTTTTTTTTTTTAAAAAACGAGTGACTACTTTTTCTCTTTTGTAATGTGCCTAAGGCACTATCAGTCATTTTTGTAACTACCGTTATTTAATGATTTTAGAAAAAGCAAAATGTCCTTTGAATTTTACTATAAAAATTCAAATAACCATTTTATGACACAGACTGTCATCAACTATTTTTTCCTTCCCAAACTGATTGTATTCCTATTATTTGGGCATATTATTGTGCATCTACTCATTAAAAATTGATCAAGTAACAGCTGTAGAAGATAGTTTCACAATATTTTTTAAATGAAATGATCAACAATTTACCTGGCAACTATCAACATGTCCACTTTCAGAGCCAGCACAAATCATTTTCAGGGATACTGTGCCTGCATACCAATCATAGCTATTACAGATTTGCAATGGAATAATGTCAACCTGAGCTTCTTGTAATATATATTTACCTTTACCTGTAATGAAAGCATAAAATAAAGCTGGAAGATTATTTGTGTTTGTAATATAGGAATAGGGTAGGGAATCCAGTAGAAAAAACTGATGGAATTTGAAGGTTTTTGGACTATAAGTCAAATTTCCTAACCCATATACTTCATACTGTATCTATAGTCATTGACAATCTTTGCAAATTTTATATAACAAATCCATACTATTTGTTTGACTGCTATATTTCAGTCTATTCATTTTCATCTTTTCATTACTGCAACTTTGAGTGTCATATTAAGGTCAAAAATCATTATGGAGAATTGTAAAATTTATGTTATCTGTACAATAAGCTATCATCTCACGTAGCATTGCACCATCATGTTAAGCATAAAATTTTAAGCATATAAGTAGTTTTTTGTTTTAGACCACAATATTGCATTTGAAATTATACTGTAGTATGTTTTCAATTTTCATTGATCATTTAGTAATGGTAGTATTCCATCAATCCTGGCTACGTAATGTCTAATAGTAATGGACTAGTCTGCATCCTATGCTATTGGCAATATACAAATATACAAACAGGATGTATGGCAGGCATGCCAGTGGCTTGTCTAAGTAAGCGTAACATTGTGATGATGAAAAAATGCTGGGAATCATAGTGCAACAACATCTGGAGGCTTATCACCGCCTTGAGGAATTATAAATTCTGGCTTTCCAGATGTTGTAATATTGATTCCCAGCATCTCTCACTATTACCATATTGTCCAAGACAGTGAGAGCTGTCAGTTAGCAACATATAGAAACCAGAGGTTTTGCACCTGTAAAAATCTAGATTTCCCATTTATTGCAGTAAAATATTGTTCTGTCCTGTCTATTCAGGTTTTGTCAATAATGCATGTAAGAACAAGAGAAGAAAAAATATACTACTATTACATCCAGACAAAATTGGATTTATTTGATAGTAACATCACTTATATTTCTGATTTTAAAAGTTCAATATCCAGGAAAAAAAGAATTTTTTTAAAAATGAATCCATTCCATTGTTTGTGGATGCATATCTAGAACGTTTGGTGAAAAGATGATTAAAAAATGTACTGTCACTATGGCTAGTAAGGTTTTACTGAGTACATTTACTAGCAGCCTTGATTTTATTTAATTTGTGAATAAGACTATAGCCTAAAATCACTAAAATCGTGATCTTAATATTAAAAGTAATAAGAATAGATTTACCTTTTTCCTTTGTGCTTCCCCACCCGCTTATATAACATGGATTCTTAGATTTATCACTCAGAAAGAGAGCAGAGTCAGGTAAGCAGATAGGCTGGACGTAATCATTGTACTTGACAAATTGCATCAATCTGAACAAGGCAACATCATTTTCAAAAGTTCCAAATTCATAATCAGAGTGGATTATGATATCTTTGATATGATATTCTTTAGAAAAAGGCCAATGTATGTAAAGATGATGCAAACCAACTACAGCTCTCCACTTGTCTGGTTTCCTAGGGAAAAAAAATCAAAGGTCCATAAGAGTCAATAGATACTACAGAATTGTTACATCAGAAATACTGATAACAAACAAGAGTCAAAATAATGCAGTAATTTCACTTCAGTTCAAGAATTTTCAGATTGGAGTTCTGAAATCAAGACCAATCTTTGCCAAAAGCAGCCTTATTTATGTCATTCCAATGAAGGCAGTTGTCTTGAAAATTCTGTTCTAAATTAAGAAAAGAATTCCTATTAGAAACTGAAAGCCTTTGCAGAGTGAGGACTAATGTGAAGAACTACAGAAATAATTTTGCCTACTAGTAAGAGGTTTCAGAGGACAAGAAGACCTGGAGGAACGTTGTCCATGGGGTCGCGATGGGTCGGACACGACTTCGCATTTAACAACAACAAGAGGTTTCAGATTTAATACTCATCAAAGTATGTTGTTATTGGCAATACTTAAGCTTATGAGAGCCCAGGAAAGCTTCTTCTACAGGATTTTAATACCAGTATTGACTAAGAAGCACCAAGTACCAAATCCAGCTATTTTTTCTTGATGCTTTCTTGATGCTTAGATGCTTTGCCCTACCCTTCTTTGCCTTTACTTCTTCCATTCTTTGGTCAAACTGTAGAGATCTTGGCTCTCGCTGCCAATCCTCGAACCAGTAGTTCCCTTAGTTACTTTGATTAGTTTGCCACCACTGCCATTCTTTCCTGCAGTGGCTTTAGTCTTCCTAGGTTCCTGGATGTTTTCCCCCTACTTTCCTCTCCCTGGGCTCTTTTTTCCTCCATACTTACTTTTACCACTGCTCTTCAGTCTGGATCCATAAACACTTGAAACTTACCATAATTCCCCCTCATCCCAAACCTAGATGTTGAGTGATTTCTGATTTGGAAAAGACATAAAACTCAACAATAAAATGTATTTTTAGCTGCAACAAGAAAGCATGGACAATGTCTCTTTATGGAATTTGCCAGGTTAGCTGACAAAAGCTTTGAAGATTACTCTTGAATGTCAGAGATTGATGCAAAACAGTAAGTAACTGGACTTGATTAATACACTTATATCAATTGCAATTATCCTGGCATTTGTTTTTTATATATTTATTCTGCTGTTCCTTTGGATCCGTGCTGGTGTTGTAAGAGTGGTAGGAATGCTCAGTGAAGTTAGTGTGCTGGCAAGTGACAATACCAAGGGAGGCCGCCTACTTAGGGAGGCGTGGCCCTCTAATAACAGCTCTATTTATCGGCACGTTGACCTGTGTCCAGCATATATGGCGTTAAGATCGTGGAGTGCGACCAACCAGCTGCCCCATTACCGACGACCTAATAACAACCCTGATAATATCAAGGGGAATATGCCAACCCCCCAACTGGCTCGGTGTAAGCCAGATGAGGAAGAGCAATTATGAAGCATTCCTACCACTCTTACAACACCAGCACGGATCCAAAGGAACAGCAGAATGAATCTGGCAGCCTGCCTGCGCCTGGAAAGAAGCGAGGCAACCGATCTGGGGAAGAGGAGACGACCCCTCCACTCAGCTGAGACGGCTGAATTGGGATGGGAAAATGAACAAGAGGGTGGCATTTACGAGACCGAACTGTTGCGCCTTCTACCCATAGACTCCGAAGACCCCCACGATGCGCACATGGGCACGAACGACGTTAGAAGGGAGAGGAGAGCGAAAGAGAAGCACGGTGGCACTCGAGAAGATCGTAATTCTACTATCTCCCCCAGACTGAGCCTCCGAATTATAACGTGTGCGAAAGGAACACAGGAGGCTCAAGAAAGGGGGAGGAGGAGTAAGACGACTGAATGTAATTACAGTCAGGGGACCGCCCCCCCAGTAGACAAACAACCCATCAACCTATCCCAGATCACCAGCATATCGCAACCAACTCAGAGCGACTTACAGGATTGTCCAGATGACAGTTGGATGGGAGGAGAAAGTACTAAAGTTAAAAGAGAAGGCTATCGCAAAAAGAACAGCCAAGCGGAGGATGATTGGGAAAGGAAGGGGAGGTGTACATTACCACTCAAACCTGATGGGGAGGATGGGTTGAGGAATAGAGATAATTTGAACGGTAGGGGAGTTATCCCACCCATCCCAGAATCGAAAGAAAGGAGGAGAGACGACAACACACACGTAACTAAGAGGAATAGGAGGAAGCAAACCAATCAAGCGCATTTGAATCAATTAGGCCCAGTGACGAGATCGAGGAGCCGGGCGCAGACTCTGACTTGCCTATAAAAAAACTCTCACACTTTCTGGCGCTCTAGCCCTGATGATGCGGGCAGGGACGGCGAAAGCTTGGCGCTTTTTAATTAAACTTTTATAGTTTTACTACCCTGGTGTTCATGTTTTCGCGGGTATTTGTATGTAGGTCTTTGGTTGTTCGGGTTTTCTCCCACGTAAAATTGGAAGTGTCTTGGCGACGTTTCGACGAAGTCCCATTCGTCATCTTCAGGCTGGTGCTCTCAGCTTCGTGCTTTGAACAGCAATGTGTGGTCTTAGCTGTTTATTTCTTTTTAACTCGAAATCACCAACATCCTCTGCACCAGCAAGCCACCCAAAAGCAACTTACCCAAAGAGGAACAGACAGCACTATGTAACCTGAAAGAAGACACCAGCATAATAATCCTACCAGCAGACAAGGGCAACGCCACGGTGGTTATGAACACATCTGACTACCAAATCAAATTAACCAACCTACTCCAAGACTCCCCATACAAACCCCTAAATACAGATCCCACCACCTACCTGGAAAAAAACCACCAGATCCAAAATAAAAGCCTCCCCCATTAGCGAAGAGATCCAGCAAAGAATCATTCCCAGAGAGAAATCATCCAGATGCCCCAAACTCTATGGTCTCCCCAAGATACACAAAGAAGGAACCCCACTCAGACCTATAGTCAGCTCCATAGGCTCACCTCTACAAAACCTAGCCAAATTTCTCGCCAAACAACTACAGCCCTATGCAGAATCCATCACCTCACACGTAAAAAACTCATTCCAGTTTATAGAGATCATAAAAAAACAAAACTTACAGCCCAGCGACCTACTAGTGAGCTTCGATGTCATATCCCTTTTCACCCAAGTGCCTATCAAAGAAGCCTTGACAGCTATTCAAAACAAATATAACCCCCCCAAACACATCTTAGATCTGACCAACCACTGCCTATCCAACATATACTTCATCTACAATGGACAAAAATACAAACAAACAGAAGGAGCACCCATGGGATCACCCCTCTCACCTGTCATTGCCAACCTCTACATGGAACACTTTGAAACCCAAGATCTAGAAAAATCGGATCACAAACCCAAACTCTGGCTCAGATACGTAGATGACACCTTCATAATCTGGCCACATGGGAAAGAAAAACTGGACAACTTCCTCACACACCTCAACAGCCTACACCCCAAAATACAGTTCACCATGGAAACAGAAGCTAACAACCAACTTCCCTTCCTGATGTCTTAGTCTACAAGAAATCCAATGGCTCCCTAGGACACACCATCTACCAGAAGAAAACACACACCAACCGCTATCTGCACGCTCTCTCACACCACCCCCCAGCACAGATCAACTCTGTAGCCAAGACACTCATCTCCAGAACAAAACGCTTAGCTGACGAACAACACCTAAAACCTGAACTACACACTCTCACCAATGTACTAACATCCAATGGATTCCATAGAAATAAGATTACAAACCTAATCCAAAAAGAAACCCCCACAAAATCCAAGACAAAGAACAAGAAACCGGCAAAGCCCTCCTCCCATACATAAAAGGCACCACAGACAGAATCAGTAAGATCCTCCATAAACACAACATCAAAACAGCATTCTGCACAAACAGAAAAATATCCACCATCCTTAGAAACCCCAAAGATAAAATTGAATTAGAAAATCAAGGAGTATACGAAATCCCATGCACCACTTGTCCCACCACATACATCGGACAAACCAACAGAAGAATAAGTGCACGCATTGAAGAACATAAGAACTCAGTCAAAAAAGAGGAACCAACATCTTCCCTGGTCCAACACCTTAAAGCCACAGGACATGAAATTGACTTTAAAAATACCAGAACCATTGCCAAAAGTGAACATTTTAATAACAGAATAATCAGAGAAGCCATCGAGATAGAAAAACGCCCACACAGCATGAACAAGCGAGATGATACCTCCCGCCTACCAGCCATTTGGAAACCCGCCCTTATTGACAAACGACTCCCTAACACAAAAAATGATACCAGACCCACACTCACAAAAACCACACAGGATGTCACCACCACACATCCACGCAAAAAACAAACCCAAAGCCACACCGATGATGAGGCACGACCACAAACCAGAAGCCAGACCACAGCTTCATCATTAGCCACTTTAAATCCCTCCAATCCATACATGAAGCAAACTGACACCCTCCATGAAGAGGAGACATGACCACGAACGCGAAGCCAGAAAATAGCAAGGCAGCCCAAAATCTTAAACCCCTCTGCAACTCAGACTAACCTGAGCACAACCAAACAGAACACTCCCCCAGCCAATCAGAGCACAGCCAAGATCCTAACCATTCAGAACACACCTCCACCCAATCAGAACACAGCCAAGCTCCCACCCAATCAGTTCATACCCCCACTGGCAGTTAAAAAGAAATAAACAGCTAAGACCACACATTGCTGCTCAAAGCACGAAGCTGAAAGCACTATATATATATATACATATATACATATACATATACATGTGTGTGTGTGTGTGTGTGTGTGTGTGTGTGTGTGTTTTCTGAGGTTTTCACGGGTATTTGTATGTAGGTCTTTGGTTGTTCGGGTTTTCTCCCGCGTAAAATTGGAAGTGTCTTGGCGACGTTTCGACGAAGTGCTGCTCAAAGCACGAAGCTGAAAACACCAGCCTGAAGATGACGAATGGGACTTCGTCGAAACGTCGCCAAGACACTTCCAATTTTACGCGGGAGAAAACCCGAACAACCAAAGACCTACATACAAACACCCGCGAAAACCTCAGAAAACAAATATCGAACCTCTACGGGGAGGAAATCCACCATCTGACCAGGACCTATGAAAAACTTGAAGTCCAAAGAGCTTCCATTTTATGCGACCTCGCATTCCTACGCAACTGCCGAGATCAAAATCTAATCCCCACATGTTTCCAACTGAAATTCCACTCCAACTCTGCAGCCACCAAACGCATCCTGAAAAGAACAGAACTGGCCCTAATCAGAAATGAACTTCACACAAAAAGATTCCTCCTAGACCGAATTAACAAAGATCTCCTCACACTCCACCTCAAACTCAGCAACAAGATCCACCCCGCACTTTGGGACAAATCCAAACAACTTGCCGTCTGGAGAGCCGAAACACAGACCACCCTCAAGACAGATACACACACCAACAAACTCCGAAGACTACAAGAACGGCAGAAACAAACCCCTCCTCCCTCACAGCCACACATGAAACAAACAGTGCATAACATATCAGATAGGATCCTCACCAAAGCCGAAACCAATGTCCTTTCCAAAGGATTCAACTTTGCAGTCGCTCCCAAGCACATCCCCACTGAAACCATTATATGTGGAGTTGAAACCAGCCTGACCAAAATCAACCCCGACGACGCTAACAGAATCAGACTCGAAATCACCAACATCCTCTGCACCAGCAAGCCACCCAAAAGCAACTTACCCAAAGAGGAACAGACAGCACTACGTAACCTGAAAGAAGACACCAGCATAATAATCCTACCAGCAGACAAGGGCAACGCCACGGTGGTTATGAACACATCTGACTACCAAACCAAATTAACCAACCTACTCCAAGACTCCACATACAAACCCCTAAATACAGATCCCACCACCTACCTGGAAAAAACCACCAGATCCAAAATAAAAGCCTCCCCCATTAGCGAAGAGATCCAGCAAAGAATCATTCCCAGAGAGAGATCATCCAGATGCCCCAAACTCTATGGTCTCCCCAAGATACACAAAGAAGGAACCCCACTCAGACCTATAGTCAGCTCCATAGGCTCACCTCTACAAAACCTAGCCAAATTTCTCGCCAAACAACTACAGCCCTATGCAGAATCCATCACCTCACACGTAAAAAAATCATTCCAGTTTATAGAGATCATAAAGAAACAAAACTTACAGCCCAGCGACCTACTAGTGAGCTTCGATGTCATATCCCTCTTCACCCAAGTGACTATCAAAGAAGCCTTGACAGCTATTCAAAACAAATATAACCCCCCCAAACACATCTTAGATCTGACCAACCACTGCCTATCCAACACATACTTCATCTATAATGGACAAAAATACAAACAAACAGAAGGAGCACCCATGGGATCACCCCTCTCACCTGTCATTGCCAACCTCTACATGGAACACTTTGAAAACCAAGCTCTAGAAAAATCGGATCACAAACCCAAACTCTGGCTCAGATACGTAGACGACACCTTCATAATCTGGCCACATGGGAAAGAAAAAATGGACAACTTCCTCACACACCTCAACAGCCTACACCCCAAAATACAGTTCACCATGGAAACAGAAGCTAACAACCAACTTCCCTTCCTGGATGTCTTAGTCTACAAGAAATCCAATGGCTCCCTAGGACACACCATCTACCAGAAGAAAACACACACAAACCGCTATCTGCACGCTCTCTCACACCACCACCCAGCACAGATCAACTCTGTAGCCAAGACACTAATCTCCAGAACAAAACGCTTAGCTGACGAACAACACCTAAAAACCGAACTACACACTCTCACCAATGTACTAACATCCAATGGATTCCAAAGAAATAAGATTACAAACCTAATCCAAAAAGAAACCCCACTAAAATCCAAGACAAAGAACAAGAAAACGGCAAAGCCCTCCTCCCATACATAAAAGGCACCACAGACAGAATCAGTAAGATCCTCCATAAACACAACATCAAAACAACATTCTGCACAAACAGAAAAATATCCACCATCCTAAGAAACCCCAAAGATAAAATTGAGTTAGAAAATCAAGGAGTATATGAAATCCCATGCACTGCTTGTCCCAACACATACATAGGACAAACCAACAGAAGAATAAGTGCACGCATTGAAGAACATAAGAACTCAGTCAAAAAAGAGGAACCAACATCTTCCCTGGTCCAACACCTTAAAGCCACAGGACATGAAATTGACTTTAAAAATACCAGAACCATTGCCAAAAGTGAACATTTTAATAACAGAATAATCAGAGAAGCCATCGAGATAGAAAAACGCCCACACAGCATGAACAAGCGAGATGATACCTCCCGCCTACCAGCCATTTGGAAACCCGCCCTTATTGACAAACAACTCCCTAACACAAAAAATGATACCAGACCCACACTCACAAAAACCACACAGGATGTCACCACCACACATCCATGCAAAAAGCAAACCCAAAGCCACACCGATGATGAGGCATGACCACAAACCAGAAGCCAGACCACAGCTGCATCATTAGCCACTTTAAACCCCTCCAATCCATACATGAAGCAAACTGACACCCTCCATGAAGAGGAGGCACAACCACGAACGCGAAGCCAAAAAATAGCAAGGCAGCCCAAAATCTTAAACCCCTCTGCAACTCAGACTAACCTGAGCACAACCAAACAGAACACTCCCCCAGCCAATCAGAGCACAGCCAACCCCCAGCCAATCAGAGCACAGCCAACCCCCCAGCCAATCAGAGCACAGCCACGCCCCTAACCAATCAGAACACACCTCCACCCAATCAGAACACAGCCAAGCTCCCACCCAATCAGTTCATACCCCCACTGGCAGTTAAAAGGAAGAAACAGCTAAGACCACACATTGCTGCTCGAAGCACGAAGCTGAAACACCAGCCTGAAGATGACGAATGGGACTTTGTCGAAATGTCGCCAAGACACTTCCAATTTTACGCGGGAGAAAACCCGAACAACCAAAGACCTACATATATATATATATATATATATATATATATATATATATATATATATATATATATATATATACACATACATACATACATACATACATACATACATATATGGTACTTGATCTACAAACACTGAAACCTACAATAAATGCTTTTTAAGCTCAATTTGTGGATTAAAGTATCAGAATATCTCCTGCCCCTATAAGCAAAAGATATGTGGAAGAAGGAAATAGTTTAGGAAGGAGATTCATAAATACACAATTGGCACATCAATGTTATTTATAATGAAAGCACTCTCAGAGTTCAATCAGTCCCTTCCTTTAGGTCAGTGGTTCTCAACCTGTGGCTCGGGACCCCATTTGGGGTCGAATGACCATTTCATGGGGGTCGCCAAACCATGCTGTCCGCCATTTTTTCCCTTTTTCCTAGCTGTCCTACTCCCTCTTATTGGTGGCCACACCCACTTGGGGGTCACCACATGGGGAACTGTATTATGGGGTCACGGCATTAGAAAGGTTGAGAACCACTGCTTTAGGTACTTCCCACAAGTATAATGCCACACATTTCTATGACACTCTCTAATGTAATTATATATATCACACAATTTGGTATCTTTCTGTAATACATAAATATGTTTCTGCTCCTTCTCTTTTCATTTTTCCTCTCACTTTATTTCAATCCAGCTTGGCTATTCCTTCCCCTTACAGATTCCATATTGGGGCTGCAAAATTTCAGACTACCTTAAGGCAACTTCCACATAGTGGAAGTTATCATGTCTTGCAGAGGAGAAATGGTAGCCCTTCCTATCCTATCCTTACCCAGTGAAACATCTCATTTTGTTTGTTGCCATTTCATATGGAAGGACAGAGGGGAATATGTGCCTGTCTGACTATGCCTGTTTCGGGTGGGGGGTTTACTTGTGTAGGGAGAGAATGGTTGGTATAGATAGATACAATTTTTAAAGTGGGAATTTTATAGAAATGACTTATTTTACAGGAAACAATTAAAATGTTGTTTGTCCTGGTTCCTATTTTTTCCCTTTCAAATATGACAGGTATATACACAGGTATATGTGCTCATGTGTACCAATTAATGGGAGGATGAAGTCTGTTTTCATTTCCTTTTCCCAAAACATTCTTTCTTTCCTTGGAGGATTATCTGTTGCTACATAATCCAGGTTTCAAAATGTGTGTATGTGTATGTGTGTATATACACACCTTAAACAGAGCCGTAGTAGGGTAGTGGTTAGAATGCAGTATTGCAAGCTAACTCTGCTGACTGCCAGCAGTTTGATCTTCACCAGCTCAAAATTGACTCCGCCTTCCATCCTTCCGAGGTAAGTAAAATGAGGATCCAGATTGTTGGAGGCAATAGGCTGACTTTGTAAATTGTTTAGTCAGGCTGTAAAGCACTGCAAAGTGGTATATAAGTCTAAGTGCTATTGCTATATACTCATTCACCAAAAATGGACAGAAAATCATTTGGTACTGAAAAATACATACGGATAATGTTGAATGCAATGTGCTGCAGTCATCACTGAGTTGTTACTGATTAAAACTCCTGCACATATATGACGATATGCTCTGTCACTGTAATGAATTTGAAGACTGACTTGCCATGGCCATGCCCCAGGTTCAGCATCATGTCCACCTACAATCCGGGAGCCCATCATGGACTCATCTACTGCAGGCCTTGTTCCACATTCTGGAAATCAAAATAGTTTTAACGATAAGAAATATTTCTGTGAAAGATTAAAACATAACCGATATTCAACAATATATTAAAACTAGCTCCTGAGAACTAGAAATTACAGGTAAGACCGCAATTGAGCCCAAAATTTCTCATTAAGCAAAATGTTTTGAGCCCAAAATTTCTCATTAAACAAAACATTTGTTAAATGAATTTTGCCTCACTTTACAACCTATCTTGCTACAGTTAAGTGAATCATTGCAGTTGTTAATTCAGTAACATGGTTGTTAAGTGAATCAGGCTTCCCCTTGACTTTGCTTGTAAGGTCGCAAAAAGTGATCACAGGATCCTAGGACACACCGTCATAAATATGAACAAGTTGCCAAGCATCCAAATTCTGATCATATGACCATGGTGATATTGCAATGGTTGCAAGTGTGAAAAACAGTCATGTCACTTTTTTCAGTGCCATTGTTACTTTGAATTGTGACTAAATGAACTGCTGTAAGTCGAGGATTACCTGTACTAGAAATTGATGGGGGGAAAATTACCACTTTTCTTGTTCAGAGGATAGCGACATAAACATTAAAAATGGCCTTCAACAGCCTGAAATAAGGTGTCTGGTAGTATCTTTTCTAATCAACCAATTCTATTCTATCTAGTTTTTTCTCCTACACCATCACTCTGCTTAACAACTAATTCCTACAACACCATCAAACTGCTTAGTAAAGCTGTATTACTATTATTCTCCTCATCTTTCCTATTACCTATCCTTATCTTATGGCTATAACTTTGTTGCTTGTATCTTGCAATTTATATTGTTTTACTTAGTATCGTAGTATGATATGCTGTTTGCTTAGCTAGTATCCTATGACTATCACTAAGTGTTGCACCTTATGATTTATGATGAAGTATTGTATTTTGTGATTTATGATGAATGTATTTTTATATTGTTTATGATCATGATTTATCACTATTACTTGTCTGTACACTGAGAGCTTATGCACTGGAGACAAATTCCTTGTGTGTCCAATCACACTTGGCCAATAAAGAATTCTGTTCTGTTCTATCCTATTCTATTAAAAGGCTGCAACTCACAAAAGCTTATGATTGAAAATTAGTTTTAATCTTAGTTTTAATAAAATTAGTTAGTCAGATTTTTTGTTATCCAGACTAGCACATCTTTCCTCATACAATTTTAAAAGCATCAAAAGCATGTATTAGTTAAAACAATATGCATACTTCTTTTTTGCTAGATTGTTCTCAGCACCGAAAAATGTGGAATAAATATTTGATCTCAGTGAAATGGAGTTCCATATGCTTAAGGTCATGTTAAATAGGGCGTGATTAACAACACATGCATGTCTTAATAGAAAATTCATGATTTATTACCCACTTTCAAAGCATTCATAGAGCTAATATGGGCATAATGACAAATCTTTCCCCACTTTTACCTAATCATGACACAAATATGCCTTTGCAGCCTTTTTTTTTTTTTTTAAAAAAATACCTTATCCACATGACATTACAAGGTATGCTAGCAAGACTTATCTACTTTGTACTGGAAAGAAAGAACACTAGTCTTATATCATGTGATTTTCCACTGGAGAGCTTCTTTGGTATCTCTACACTTGTCCTAAAGGTGCTTTTTCCAAAAGGCAACTGGATTTTCTCATTTTTTTTTTCTTTTGAAAACATTTTGCTTCTTAGCTAAGAAGCTTCTTCAATACAGGAGAAGTGAAATATTTTTTTTAAAAAGCAAGGAAGTCCAGTTGCTTTTTGGAAAAAGCATCTTTGGGACCACTGTGACCTGGATGATTGAGACCGTCCATAGACAAACAGTATTGTATTACATTTGATATTTTTTTTAAAAATTGCATTGTTAATGCTTTATTGTTCAAGTAATTCTGTGACTCTAATACAAATTCAACAATATGCAAGCTACTAAAAATCTTCTGATCTTTGAAGCTCCCAAACACGCTCCCACCCAGTTCCCTTCCCTTCTGGGCCAGATGAAACAATGGGTTAGGAATGACCTACGATAACGAAGAGCGTGTATGATGAATCTGTTCCTCTAGGTCTAGTTCTGAATTTGTTTCAATTTGCCAAGAGAGAAATAGCTGGTAATTACGGGCTCTATTTTGCGCACAAAAGGGAGGAAGAGGAGGGAGGAATCCGATACTTGTTGCCAAGAGATTGCCGAAATCTCAGCAGGACGAGCAGAGCTTTTTCCTTACGGAGGTTTCAAGCTGGGGAGGGGTCGGTTAGGGCCACCCTGAGCGCCTGCACCTCCACCACGGGATCAGCATGAATTAGGGTTGTAGGGAGCAGCGGTGCTTTCTGCCACTCGGTCTTTTGAGCACCGTTGAGAACAAGCTCATTCAAAGGCCATTGCCTTACGGAGCAACGAACAGGTTAAATTAAATTAAATTAAATTAAATTAAATTAAATTAAGAACAGAGCTGAGAGGGACCTTGGAGGTCCTCTAGTCCAACCCCCTGCTCAGGCAGGCAGCCTCGTTCTCACCGTCTGTGAGGGAGGCTGGGGACAGGAGCTCCAGCAGCAGAAACAGCGACCACAAAAAAAAGAGGGAAGAACGAAAGCCTCGAATCATATTCAATCCAGGAAGCAAATGGCGCCGGGGCCGCTGGTCGGCTTCTTTTGCGGTTGTCCGTCTCGTGTGCCGCGCGACTCTCGGAGCGGGTTTCACATGGCGCGTGCGCTCCGCGGTTTCAGCACCCGGGAGCGCCTTCTCTCTCTCTCTCTCTCTCTCTCCTTCCTTCCTTCCTTCCTTCCTTCTTGTAATACAGTACTCGGGTTTTCCCTACCTTACATCTCTTGGACGCGCCCAAATCAGTAGCGATGTAAATTAAGAAAGGTGGCAGATGCGAGCGTTTATTACGCCGAGTCTTGGAACGTACGGACGGGGATTGAAGGGATGTTGAAGTTCAAACTTTGGAGGAAAACAAGTTCTCCATCCAGGCTAGGAAGTTCCCTGTCTTTGCAATTAAGCATTATTTTCTTCCAAGTTCTGTTAGAGAGCAACCCACTCGGGCTCCTTGTTGGCAGTTACAGTAACTAGCTATCGGCACAAGCAACTGGAAATACCATGAGGTTGTTCTATCATAATTTGATTTTCTATACATTCAGAAACTCATTAGTGGTCCCTTCACCTATTTGCTATTGTAAATGGACAGAAGGCGTCACTGGTGGGTGCTGCAAAGATGGATTCTAAGGTTATGTTTATTTTAATCTGAGTCTAGCCAGATGAAGACAATTTCACGTCACATGACGCTGCGAGTTTGACACCCCTGCTGTTATATGTGCCAGATCTATAATTTTGCAAAATGATTTTTTAAAAATACATGAGGGAGGAAGCCTGTATTTCTTCTGTAAGTGTAAAAGAATGTAACTTCCTTTGAAGATAGATATTTTATTGACATAAAAGAATGCTTTGTAAATGAAAAAAGAGATGAATTTTAAAAAAACCAAAGAAGCAGAAGACTCTAGAGCAGGCATGTCAAACTCGCGACGTCACGTGCCGTCATGCGACGTATCGGAGCTTTTTCGCCATTTCCGGCAATGGGGTGGGCGTGGCTCCGATATAATGAAACCGGCCCGCGGGCGGGCAGTTTGACATCCCTGCTCTAGAGAATCTTAAGAATCAGAATTAGATAGAATTAATCAGATATTTGAAACAGAACAACAGAATTGTAAGGGATCTTGGAGGTCTTCTAATCCAACCCGCTGCTCAAGCAGGAATGGCCTATACCATTTTAGACAAATGGTTGTCCAATCTCTTCTTAAAAATCATCAGTATTGTAGCACCCACAACTTCAAGAGGCAAGTCATTTCACTGATCAATTATTCTAATTGTCAAGAAATTTCTCTTTAGTTCTGATTCTCTCCTTTGTTTCTTGTTCTGCCTTCAGATATTCACTAGGTTAATGAACAAAAGCATCAGGGAAATTCAAAGTTCATAACTACTGAATAATGAAGCAAATGGACTTTTAATGCATAAAAAGGCAGGATTTGATTTTTGGTTCTGCACATGCAGTTATACAACTTAGTTTGCAAGTTAAAATCCAAGATTTTCAACATGACATTTTATCAAGCTGCACCCAAAATAATACAGTAATTGAAATCTAAAATCAGCAGGGAGAAAGATAAGCCTGTGCTATTATAGATACTAAAAAGTCATGACTGGATTAAAAATCTAGCCATGGCCAGCTGTGTGCCTCAACCTCCCCTCTCTGCAAAAATTAGAATGCCAAGATTCAATTCTGGTATCTCCCAAGATACCCAAGTAGGGTTGATTTCCTACTGGAAGAAGAGATGGAGGGGGACAGTGGTTGGGTAATGCCTTGTTATTCTGACTCCGACTCTTGTATCTGACTCTGCTTCAACTAGTGTAGAAGACATTATTGCTTAAGCATTCCATTCACCATTTGAAATGTTTCAGCTGGAAACAGAATACCATACAATTTAAGTAAATCCATTTAGATGCTATGCACTTGCCTTGTGCTTGACCCACATTTTTAAATTAACACCTGGAAAAGAGTCTGCTTAGACATGCTAGTTTTTCCTATTTACTCTTGCAGGTTATGAGATAACAAACTAACAAAGATTTTATTTGAACCCCAATAAGATAATTATTTCCCTCTTTTGCTATAGCAATGCCCCCAAACTCCTTCTACTTGATCCTTATTAATGTGTAATCTTCTTTTGCTGATGTCTAAACTAAATGGCTCAGGGGAAGTGAGAGGTTGCAGGGTTTTAAAAGCTGCCTAACGAGAGCAATCCCTTGATGAGTAGAATTCCAAATTCCAGAGACTGTTCCTGCCACTTGGGCTCACTCTGGCAATTAGGGAAGGGCCCCTGGTGTTGAAAGTTAATGGGGACAATTTAAATACATGTGATGCTGTTTGTTTTAGCCTTGACATCTCCTTTAACATCGTTTTACTTTGCTATACATCTTGCAAATTCTGAATTAGCCAGCAACACAAAAATTTTAGGAAGCAATAATCCAATAGGTATTCATTTATACAGGTAGTATGCAACATATAACCATAATGGAGTCTATGCATCAAGGCCATAAGTCCTGACAGTCAGAAAATGGTTTTACAACTTTTTTTGGTTGTACATAATCTTTTTTGGTTATTAAGCAATTAAGCAAACCAATAGTTCATCTGAAAACCAAAAGTAAATGCTGGGTGTCAACGCTGTAAACATTGGATGTTCCCGCTCTAACAACTGATGAAAATTGCAGCCGCTTTGCTTTTAACGTGCTTTTTCTTCTATTTAGAAATCAGGCGCAGAAGGGGGATTGGGATGAATGCTTCAGCTCAGCTAGCCATAATAATGCTGCTGCTCTGTGGGAACTCAAGGACAAACTGACAAGGGTTTGGTGGGCTGAGGATTTTTACTCAATTTTTAATTTTTTTATTAATATTCCAATTTAACCTTTGATATTTATAATTTTCAGATTTTGGGTAACCAAATTTTCCCTTATCTCACTTCATAACAAACTATAATATCCAAAATATACATTTTATCTATTTGCACATAATCTTGTTCTATTTCCTAAGAGTTATCTATTTCCCACCATATCCCCTTTAATAAATCAAATCCATTATATATATTGCCTGAGTTAATCAATAAATCAAACATATTCATAATATTAATTTTCTTTTCCCTTTTAAGTCTATTTTTTCAATATTATACCAATAAAATCCTTATTTTCAGTAACCCTCTAATTGGCAATATAAAATCGCTTCTAATGAGTCAAAATCCCAGTTTTTTCAATCTTATTCTAGCTTTCTTCCTTTGCCAACTAGGCTCACATATCAGCGCCTTTAAATCATCAAATAGATCTCCCTCCATTCTTATATATGTTATTTGAATTAAAGGAGACCATTTGATTGTCAGTTTTCTGGAAGCACTAGCCCATTTGTATTTGTTAAATTGTCTCCCTGTTATTCCAGTTCCCCATGTTTGCTCCAATATATTTGTCTTCAATTCAATCTATTCTACTTCTTTCTCAAATTTCTTCTGGTTTATATAAAAAGTCATTTCCATTTTCAATCTTGTCACTTCCTTTTCTGGATTTTCCGTCAGCTGTATTTGTTGGTCAATTGAGTCCTCTGTCTTAATATTTGGTTGTCCCACTTCTTTTGTTATCTTCTGCATTGTTGGTTCTTTGGTTGTAGGCAAAATTTGGCTTTGTGCATCTAAGCTGGCACTTGATCTTTTATTTTAGGTCTTATTTTATCACAAGCTAAAAGAATGGTTTCATATATTGCTTTCAACATAGAAATAATCTTTTCCTGGTCTTCATCCATCTCTTTCACTTAATTGTAAATAGTCTTTCTAGTAAAAGTTGTTTGTTAAGCAAAAGTCCGTAAAGGTTTACATTCACAGTTCAAATAGGCCAACTGTTCTCTTACAGTTAAGTCTTTCACAGATAGTGTCAAGATCAGGAAAGTCTTATCTAAGGTCTGGGCTTTGAGCCAAGTCTCTTTTTAGGAAATAATAAATTGCAATTTCAAGCTTCACCACAAGATGCCACCGATGCCATTTAGAGTTTTTAAGTCCCAAATTTTTCTAATTCTTTTTCCGATTTTATTTCTTTTTTGTAGATAAAAACAAAAGTCACCAAAAGAAATAGGGAAATTTTTGGTCCCCAAGTTTCAGCAACATATAAATCCAATTAGATTAAAGTTGTTCTTTTAAATGCTTTGATTCCCCTGGGTTATGGGTCGGCAACCTGCGGCTCTGGAGCCGCATATGGCTCTTTCAGCCTTCTACTGCGGCTCCCAGTCCTCCTTCTCCATTTGCAGAAAGAGAGACAGAGACAGAGAGAGGCACTTGCGCTTCCCTTCTCTCTCTTTCTCTGATCACCTGGCCAGCTGGCCTCACACTGTTTTCCAACAAGCTGACAAGCTTATTGGGCAGGCTTCCTGCCCTTACTGCATCTCTGCAGGAAGCAGGAAGCAGCAGAAAGCAGCAGTGTTCTCTCTCTCTCTCTCTCTCTCTCTCTCTCTCACACACACACACACACACACACACACACACACACTTTTACTTACTTAGTGGGGGAAGAAGACTGGTAGACCAAGGGGAGGAGATAGCCAGCCCAATAAGAATGTGTGTCAGCTTGTCAGAGAACAATGTGAGGCCAGCTGGCCAGGTGAGCAGAAGATCAGAGAGAGGGAGAGAGAGGAGTTGAGAGGAAAGAGAGAGAGAGACAGAGACAGAAAGAGAGAAAGGGAGGGAGAAGATAGAAAGAGAGAGAGCGAGAGAAAAAGAGAGAGGGGGAAAGAGAGAGAGAAAGAGAGAGAGGGAGAGGAAAGAGAGAGAGGGGGGAGAGGAGAGAGAGAAAGAGAAAGAGAAAGAAAGAAAGAGAGAGAAAAAGACGGGAAGAAAAAGAGAGAAAAAAGAGAGAGCGAGGAAAATGAGAAAGAGAGAGAGAAAAAGAGAGGGAGAGAAAAAGAGAGGGGGAAAGAGAGAAAGAAAGAGGAAAGAGAGAGAGGGGGAGAAGAGAGAGAGAAAGAGAAAGAGAGATAGAAAGACAGAGAGAGAAAAAAGAGAGAGCGAGGAAAGTGAGAGAGAGAGAGGGAGAGGAAAGACAGAGAGAGAGAGAGAGGAAGAGGAGAGAGAGAAAGAGAGAGGGGGGGATATGAATATATGTTGACCTTACTGGACTTTTAGTAAAGAACGTTTAATGAAATATTTTGATTTTTTTTAAATTAAGA